CCCCGGCGCCCCCCCGTGGCCCCCCCCCCTGCCATGGAGACAGCTTCCCTGCCTGTAAATGGGGTTTTGGGGCTACGACGCAGTGTGCCCAGAGACCCCGAGAGACCCCAGGACCCTTCCAGGGAGTCCGCCATCTTCTTCCCACCCATGTGTCAGGTTTTCTTCTTACAGTTCAAGCAAAATGTCACATCAGCCTGGATGAAAGCACGGGGGCCAGCTGTCCTCGGCGAGGCCAGACTCTAGCATGACTTGGCAGCCAGAAAGCAATGCCACTGTCCTGGCTGACTACACATCCTGCAGGAGCCACAGCTTCACAAAAAATAACTATGAGATCGTCGGAAAAGGCATGGCGCGTCTCTGCACAGAAAAACACGCCGTGACTTTTCCTGTGTCCCAGTGTATTTTCCTGCAGTAGATTTACTGTAGCTCATTTTAGAAGAATTTAAAAATATTTTCTCAGTTTTAATTTCTAAAATGGTAAATATGAACAGACGTAGCCCACATAAACAAAGCCTCTCTGGGGCCCAATACATGTGAAGACCGTGGAGCGTTCCTGTCACCAGAGTGTGAGACCTTCTAGGCGCCAAGGCCCTCTTGCCTAGACCTGTCCGGCCCTCCTCCTGGCTCAGCTCCTCTTCCTGAGAAGGACACTGGTGGAGTCTCGGGGGACACCACATTGCGTGGCTAGTGAGCTGGGGCGAGCCCCCTCTCCCCCCAGGACACAGACCCCATCCGCCCTCTCCATGCTGGACCTGGCCACGGGGACAGCAGACCTCGCACTGACCCTGCCACACCTCCCAGAGGGTTCAAGGCCTGTGGAGACCCACGAACCTTTGGGATGAGCCACGTCCTCCCCAACCACAGACCACAGGCGCCAGGCCCAAGGCTGCAGGGTGGCCGGGAGGCCGCGCCCCGTGTGGGCCTGTACTCACATAGATGAGGTGGTCGCGATAGCGGATGAGCAAGTTGCGCAGGATGCCCGCCTCGTTGAGGTCCCCCAGGCGGATCATGTCCTCGACTCCGTGCACCGAGGTGGGGTGCATGGGCTTGATGTGCGTGGCGTTCTGTGGGGAGATCCAGTGCTCCTGCAAGGTGGGGAGTGGGCGTTAGCTCGCTCTCTGGGACTGGGCTGCGCACACAGGCAGGAGTGGCAGAGCCTGGTCTGTGGGACCTTGGCGGGTCCCCTCTCAGCCAAAGGCCTGATCCGTAGCCAGGGGCAGGTCCCCTCTCAGCTAAATGCCGTCGCCAGTTCTAACAGGACATTCTTTGGGGATGGTACCAGTCCCCTGCAATGCCCTCAAGGCTGCCCTTCCTCCCAGGGTATCAGCTCTCAGACCCACTCAGGAGGAGGGCAGGGCAGGGACTTGGCCCCAGCTGGAGGTTGGCATTAGGGACTCAAAGTCCCCTGGCCATTTCACAGGACAGAGCGGGGAGTGTAATGACCGGAGTTAGATGGACTTGGTGCTAATCTGGGCTCCAGGGAAAAAACACCTAAGAAGTGAATTCTGACAGTGCCAAAATAAACCTACAGGTGTTCGCGACAGAGAATCAAGGGGATGCTGTGCATGGAGCGACCGGGGCCACCTTTCTGCAGAGGAAGCATTTCAGAGACCTCTGTAAGGAGGGGAGGAAGGGGGAGAACTCCAGGCACAGGGAACAACACCTCTGAGGCTGGCCAGGGCTTGGCATGATCCAGGGAAAGCCGCGAACCTGTGGGATGAACCACGCCACAGAGCAGAGGCGAAGGGAGAGCTGGGCCTACTGGGACAGGCCTCACGGGGCTTGCTGGGCACGTCCGTGGAGCAAGGGGTGACTTCGGTCCCCCTGAGTGAGGACCCAAAGACAGGTCTCCTGGGTCGCCTATCGTCTGCAATGCTCCCTGCTTCTGCCCAGTAGCAGGTGGGGGAACATCCTGAAAGAGCCCTGGGTCAGCAAAGTTACTGGGGGTGATGGGAGCCTCCCCTCCCCCAGGGGCTTTCCAGAACCTTCTCACAATTTCAGGTGAGTGAGAGTGTGACCTGTGCCCTAGGGTGTGGCCACGACCCCAGGGGATCCCCACAGCCCTCCCACTCCCTGACAATGCAGCTTGGGACCAGGTAGGACCTGAAGGACAAGGGGACATCTCTGCCACCTCCCGTTCATGCCCTTAGACCTGCTGAGCAGATGTGGTCCCGTGTCCCATCCTCACACCCGCTCCTCCTCCAAGTCCCATCTGGTTCAGCCAACCCCGTGCTGGACACTAGCTGGAATCAGGCATCAGCCCTCCCACTCCAACCCCACAGGCCACCCAGTGCTGCCTGACAACCCTTTAAAGGGCTGCTGCGTGGGCAATGCCCCTTTGCCAAGCTCAAGGCCACCCAGACCCAGGCCACCATGTCACCTGGCCTGCCCCCTCTCTGCCCCCACTCCTCACTCACCTGGGCTTCTTTGCACATCTATCTGAGCCTGCCGCCACCATGTCACCTGGCCTGCCCCCTCTCTGTCCCCATTCCTCACTCACCTGGGCTTCTTTGCACATCTGTCTGAGCCTGATACCCTCAGGCTTTGAGCCCTCTCCCAACTTGCACGGCATTCAAGGGCCAGCAGTTGCCGGCCACTGCCCCAGCCCCACCCTGCACTTCTGAGCCGGCAAAAGTGCGTCTCCATGTCCCCAAACCTCTGTGACTTCACTCCCACTGTCCTCTGCCTTCTCTGCTCAGCCTTCAGGACTCAGCTCAGCCATTCCCCATTTTCTAGAACCTTCCCTGACAATCACGTCCCCGCTCCCGGCCGTCGTCCCCCCTCCACCTCAGGCCCAGACTGGGCCAGGAACAGCTGGTATGGCAGGGAGACTCTCAGGGGACAGAGGGCTGGCTGGAAATGAGGCTGGAATCGGAAGCAGAAGCCCTCGCCATGGGGAGACCCCGGGGTCCTATCCCAGCCCCTTACTTTGTAAGAGGACACAGGGTACAGTGGAGAGGTCTTCCAAGGCCCTGCAGGTCAGAGAGAGGCTGCCACGGCCCACATTCCCCACCATTCTTGGCCTTTCCTGGGCCAGCAGCGTTTCAGGCATAAGGAGGCCCAGGTGACATAAAGAGCCTGCCCCAACTTTCCAGTCCTGTGTGGAACATCTTGTCTCCCAGACGCTGATCCAGCTGGAAAATCTACCAGGCCTGGCCCCACCTGACTCCATCCTGGGCCCAGCAAGGCCAGAGGGGGCAGGCTCCTGGCGGGCTGCTGCCCTTCTCACCCGACTCCACCTCTGGACCCCAGTTCCTGCCATGCAGCACAGACCCCGGGACTTCTGCTGGGGCCCGCGCACAGCAAGTCAGCTGCCTGAGTCCTGCACCTCTTCTACACTGCAGGAATGGAACCTCAGCATGTCCTCCTGGGGATGCTGGGAGGCTCTACGTACGGAGCCGGCCCCTCTGGCCGCGGCCTTCTCCTGGGGGTCTGCAGTGTCCCAGAGCCCGCCGAGTGCACAGCCAGGGCTGGGCATCATCGCTCCAGCGCCTTTTGCCTTACAAAGGGGATGTTTGCTCCGTGGGGTCTGCAGATGCCCCCATACCTGAACCACCAGCCCATCGTCCAGGGCCAGGTGGACCCGAAAGTGAGCAGCAGAGCTGAGGCGCACACCCTTCCCTGAGGGAGGACTCCTGGCAGGGGCCAGCTCCCCAGGCCGAGGTCCACAGGCACCCAGTCCAGGCCAAAGTGTATCCAGGGCAGTGGCCAAGGCCTGGCCCTGAAGGAACACTAGCAAGTGAGTGAGAACTTGGCTGAGTCTAGGGAACGGGCTTGGGAAGGAGCTGGCCTGGGACCGAGCTCAGAGAGATGGGGATGCGTGCTCTGCGGAGGGAGGGAGGGGGTCTGGCATAGGGATGGCTCAGACAGTGGCAGGGCACCAGGCTTCCAATGCCATGGCCACCCGCTGTGCTCCGCTGCACTCGGGCCGGCCTTACAGGAGTATTCCCTGGGCAGCCCATGCAAGCTCTCAGGAGCCGTGGCTTGCCTGGCCTGCTCTCTGCTCTCAAGTTGCTGGAGTCTGAGCCAGGACAGAGCTAGTGTGAGCCAGGACGGAGCTAGTGTGAGCCAGGATGGAACTAGTGTGAGGTGGGACAGAGCTAGTGTGAGCCGGGACGGAGCTAGTGTGAGCCAGGATGGAGCTAGTGTGAGCCAGGATGGAGCTAGTGTGAGGCAGGATGGAGCTAGTGTGAGGTGAGACAGAGCTAGTGTGAGCCGGGATGGAGCTAGTGTGAGGTGGGACAGAGCTAGTGTGAGCCGGGACGGAGCTAGTGTGAGCCAGGATGGAGCTAGTGTGAGGCAGGATGGAGCTAGTGTGAGGTGAGACAGAGCTAGTGTGAGCCGGGATGGAGCTAGTGTGAGGTGGGACAGAGCTAGCGTGAGCCAGGACAGAGCTACTGTAGCCAGGAGAGAGGGCTTTAGGGTAGCCTGGGGTGAGTGGTGGGGTAGGGAAGGCTTGTGAAAGAGGAGGCCACAAACCCCAAGGCCTTGTGCCTCTGAGGCAAACCCCAGCGCCCTGGCCCACCCCTGCTAGCCAGTCATGTCCCTCCCCCTCCTGCAGCCCCCCTGCCAGGGCCTTGGAGGAGGGGAGTAGGGTGGGAGGGAACCTTTGGGATCCGATGACTCAGAGTTACGGGACACCATCTGACATGCAACCTGACCCGCTGAAACTCAAGCCTGCAAGCAGAATCCCTCGTCCCCAACAGGGGGGCTCCAGGCAGGGTCACAGGCCTGTAGGTGCCACCAGACCGGCCTGTGCCCCTTCCGCTGCTGCATGTCTTAGAGGTCCTGGAGCTGGAGCCTGGGGCCGTGCGCAGCGCTCTGGCTCTGCCCCAGAAGACAGAGGTGAGGTCAACACGATCCAAGCCCCACGGTCACCACTAAGGTGCTGACAGAGGCGAGTCCTGGGTCCTAGTCCCAGCACCGTCACTTAAAAGTTATGCCACTAGCCGTGTGGGCCCGCCCTGTGCCTCAGTTTCCCCATAAGATAACGAAGTACTGCTCCTCCCCAGGCCTTTCGCAGATGCCATGAGGATCCAAAGACAGATGTCAGGCAAAGGGCTTGCCTAACCCTGACGAGGTGCCCCTGCTCACTCCACAGCCGTTACCTGGTGCCCAGAACATGAGCCCTGCCCTCTGCCCGCAGGGCCTCTGTTCCCAGTCACTGCACCCTCTTTCCCCCGAATCTCCTCGGACCAGGAGGTGGAGACAAGGACATAGTTTTATCTCTGTGTTCCCAGAGCCAGGGTTAGCCCTCAGATCACCACAGAACAAGCCCTGGGTCCTGGTCCTTCATGACCCTGCTAAGCCGCAACTCTCCTCTGCACCGTCTGCACATCCCCAGTGTCACATACGCACGCACACGTGCTCAGAGGCCCCCACCTCTCAGGGCAGCCTGACCCCAGACCTTCCATCCCCCTGCCCAGCATTCCTCCCCTTCCCGACACTAGCCTGACCCCAGACCTTCCATCCCCCTGCCCCATCACTGCCCAGCATTCCTCCCCTTCCCGACACTTTCCTTCTGGTCAGCCGGCTCCGGGCAGCATCAGGTGAGTGTCACCCCAAGGTGTGAGCCGGGACGGAGCTAGTGTGAGGTGGGACAGAGCTAGTGTGAGCC